ATAATATATTAACCATTATATATATATATGTTATATAAATACGTTATAAATAAATTATATATATATGTTATATATATTATTTTCTTTATATATAAATTAAAATATATATATATTATTTGACAGTAATGGCATAATAATAAATTCAGTGATAAAGTAATGGCATAATGATAAATTCATTTATAAAATAAGGGTATAATGGCATAATTGTAAATTCAGCGATAAAGTAAGGAAATAATGGTAAATTCGACAAAAAAGTAATACCGTCAGTATTAAAGTAACGGTGTTAACATCAAAGGGCGAGTATGCACGCAGATATTAAATTCAAGGGGGTTTGACGCAATTTTTGAAAAACAGGGGGATAACGCGCAGATTTCATATAATACAGGGAGATTTGGTGCAATAAACCCGTTCATTTTTTCCCTCCACTTCTCCACATAAGAAAAAGCTGGAATCTTATGTAGTATTATTTTTTATTTATTTTAATTAGGTGGGATAATAATTTTTTTTATTGACTAAAAACATATTGTGGGAGTTCCAAATTTGAGGAGACCTTAATTAAAGAAAAAGCTACAATTTGTCCTGGTTTGAGAGATGACAAATTGTAGATCCAACGTTGACATAATTAAGTAAAATTGGATCCTGGTGTGGAATTTTTCCAATCAAAATTATCATTTTTGGTCAAAATTGTATTGCATCTTTTTTCTAAATCTCCCCCAAAATCTCTGCTCCTTATTTTCAAAATTAATATTTTTGGACCAAAATGCTAATCAAATAAGTTTGTTACCAACAAAATAATAAGCAATTTTGACTGGTTAATCTCTAAAGGGGTCTAATCCGCAAATTTAGCAACAATCCCCTAATAAACAAACGAGTGAAAGCTCAACACTTGGAAATAGAGATGGCCAAGGGCTGCCTGGCCCACCGACCCAGCCCAAGCCCGGCACGAACCCGACCTGGTCAAACCTGTGGTCAACTGGCCCGGGATCGACCCAAATTTTAACCGGGCCAGATTAGAGTCAGCCATTTTTTAAATATGATCCATCTGGCCAGGCCAGGTCGGACTAGCTGGCCATTAAAACTCAATGTTTTTTTATTTTTTTACAAGGGGTCCAAAACTGGGTCAGGCCCGGCCCAGTTGGTCGTTTACCCGACCCATAACTAGGTAAGCGCCGGTTCAGGGTCGCTGTAATCGAGCCTGGAGACCCCCGGCCCATAAGTAGGTAAGCGCCGGTTCAAGGTCGCTGTAATCGCGCCTGGAGACCCGCCCCGGGGATTTGGCTATGTCTGCTTGGAAACAAATACAGACCGATTTTTGTGCGTTTCTCTGTTCTTTGACTTATATTATTTATCATAATTTACAATAATAATTAAGAAAAAAAGAATAATGATCAGAAGGCGTTTATATACATAATGATAATGTTTGCCTTTAATTACTAGTCGAATTCACGGTATAAAAATCCAAATTGAAAAATCCACAAGTTACTAACATATTTACAACTACACAAGTAAATTAGATGCAAATGCAAAGTGATACAACACTTGTGCTAAACAGGACGGAAAGGTTAAAACCTACTACCTCGGAAGTACTTGTGAAATACTTCTTCGTTAGAACAATATCTAAAAAACACCCCATATACCTCAATCAGAAGTTTAGGAAACCTGGATGTGAAATATGAGTCGAAACCATCGGGGACAGGGCCCAATAGTGCTTGTATCTCCTTGGAAAGTTCCCTGAAATGATTCAATTTGTTGCGTATGACACGTAACAAGTCACGTACACTATCAAACTTATAGCGTCTATAACGACCGATATCATTAAGAAAGGCATTCTCCATTTTTTCATCCCATTTGCCCCCCAAAGCAGCTTTTCCAGCGTTTTCCAGATCCACTAATAGCTGGGACCCATTTTCCCGGTCCTCGAGCTCAACTCTATCACTGGCATCTCGAAGGAAAGAGAGCCGTTTTTCCGGGTCCCAAAACAGAGGGTGCTGCATTACTTCTGTAGCCTTTGGCCTGTGAGAGTTTCGAATAAAGTATCTAATTTATTTCAGGATTATTAGTGACCCAAGGGCTCAATTCAAATTATAAACGATGCACAACAGATAAACTTTAATACTAGGATTTACCTGAATCACCAAAGATTCAATTTTGTTTTAGAATAAACACGCCTCCAAGTTTTGGGGAAAGTTAAAGAGAAAATAAATCGTTTTATCTTTCAAAGTATCAACTCCTTGAGATAACCTAACATTCCCACTAGACGTGTATTTATATTACAAATAACTGTTTGTGAAGTGCAATGCACTGTAAAAGAAAATGGCAAGCGGGTATTTGCAATTTTAAGAGATAACTAGACTTTTTTGATAACTAGATTAACCAGGAGGGCCAATATTGAAATCTGATTTATAAAGATCAAATACAGAAGCTTCACAAATTCATCTGCTTTAGAACAAAAGTATTGAAATAAAAGAGAGTATTGAAATAGTTCCATGTCTGTTTGAATGCAATGTATCATGTATGTGGGTGTCTTTCAAGGCATTTTTACCTCAAGTAAGGGTCCGGGTCTAGCAGTCGAGAGATGAGATCAGTAGCTTCAGGTATGTGGTCGATCAAGAAGAGGTCTTTCCGGTCGTTGACTATGTTTACATCACGTTCAAGACTTTCACCAAAAGGGTGCTTGCCTCCGGTTATGCAGAAAAAGAGAATGCAGCCTAAGCTGAATAAATCAACTGCACGAGTATGCCGTTCACGACGCAGTTGTTCTGGAGCTTGCCACCCGGAACTACCATATCCTAATTGCACAATAATTATAGTTGTCAAATTAAAAGAAAAAAAAGGGCCAATATACTTGAATGAGGGAGACAAAATTACTGATATCTCACCGGTGGCATGCTTGGTTAAGGATGACATTTCTCCATCTAAGAGCTTGCTAATACCCATGTCCGAAATTTTTGCCGATATTGATCGATCTTTGATTATAAGAACATTTTGAGGTTTTAAGTCTCGGTGTACGATTCCGAGTTCATGTAAATGAGCAAGTCCACAAACAATGTCCCTGCAAGTAAGTAACATGATAAATATTCTAGTTATGTGAGCAATTGAGGTGAACACAGTTATTGAATTGATAGACAAGTTGCTGAATAAAAAGGCCAGGAATTAATGCATGTTTACAATAGCTGTATCTGTTTTATACAAATGCTCATAAATGCATTTTTGTTTCTGGAAAACACTTCACCATAGAACACGCAAGTTAATATCATTCTTTAACAAATTAAAGAACAATGGCATTGCCAATGTGAGAGTCAGAGAAGTATTCAATTATAATTGGACTACGAACTACCACTAATTAATCCTTATCCAACCCAACCCAACTCCTAGCAAAAACATGTATAGAAATTACATGCTGTAATAACTGTTTGTCATAATCTTCTCAAAGCGCCAAAAAAAATTTTATCAGAACACAACAAACATGACAATCCAGAACCAGGAATGGTTTTTGGGATCACGTTGTGTACTTCAGCAATTACAGATTTAATAGGTAAGGAAAACAAAAATCAGAGAAGATTTGCTTTTCAAGAGAGGGTTAGCTTAGAGCGTACCTCATTAATTTCAATAACCTCGCAGATGGATATCCATTAACCTTCCACAACTCGAGTTCCTTCCCACTTCCAAAAGTCTTCAGAAGTTGCACATTACAGCCAACAAGAGACAGAGACTCATCAGCTTGATTCTCGTAAGTGCAGAACAAGATCAACTCATGCATACTACACGTGCACCTCTCAAGACAGATATAGACAAAATCCTGATCGTACTCGACCCCATGCCACCGTACAATATTTGGATGATGATCAGATGCTATTAGATTCTCTATCTCTTTCACAGCCACATTGTGGTGGGTCCGGACAAGACGCTTGATGGCAACTGAACGGCCGTCGTAAGTTCCTTCGAACACAACTGTCCCATTGCTTCCCTTTGCGATTTCTTTATTAGAGAGAACCAATTTACCAATCCTACGCACGTCCGGAGAAGTGCCATTTTCAACAGCATCCCCAGTGATGACTGATGGAAGATAATCTACATGCCTTTTCTCAACAACAATATTATGTCTACTGCCTGAAGATTTCCGGCTTTTCTTCTTTTTCGGCGTGACATTTTTCGATTTGACATCTTCTGACCTTTCTTTTAACTTATTACCCTGTTTTCGAATAAGAACACATCTAACACAGGAAAAGAAAGCTACTGCTATTGGTAAGAAACCAAAATGAAGCATTGAAGGCCAAAAATGAGACTGTGCTCCGGTATCCAATTCCACAAGGCTATTTTCTTGAGTAACACTACCCGGAAGACTCTTAACTTCAACTTCATCATAGTCAGGAATAGGGAGGCCAAGCCTATCAACATCCTTACTGTGAAGAGGAGATAACATTTCTTTCATTGGCTCTAAATCAAGATTGCTAGAGTGGGGTAAAGAAAGTGTTTCGACACCAGGAAGAGCACCTTTTTGCCCATTAGCTTCAAAAAGAGGCTCTAAAGAGCTACGGTCACGTACACGGTACACCACTGGCCTCGTCTCACAATGCAAAGGCAGCTTCATCTCGAACCCCTGACCTGGTCTAAACTTTTTATCGCGCGTGAATCCGCCCAGAAAATTTTCGATTCCTTCACACTGGAAGGAAGCCTCAATATCAGCAAACATTAGATACCATAAAACTTTTCCGGTCTGGGCAGAGGTATACTTGAGGGCATAGTCAGTTCTCGTGACATAGAGTGGCCTGTCGACAGCGTCTGGGTTCACTGTAGAGGGTACCCATTCTTCAATGTCACCCCTGGTTAGCGTAGAGGTCTCATCAATATTATCTGATCTAAAAGTACGAATAACCTTTCCAGTTTTAGCATCAACAAGAAATACAGCAGTTTTCTTTGATCCTAGCACAATCCCTCCACCAGCCGACACGTATGGAGTGCGTTTTACAAATTCGTCGGCGCTCACTGGGAGTTTCTGCAATTAAGAAAGTCACTTTCTGGTGATTAGTATGAATTATAAACCAGAATCGGAAAATTATATTCAGACCTGCCAGGCTCAAAACGAAGGCGAAAGTTCAATAAATCCGATATTAGTAATTATTTACGTCCTATTTTATGTCGTGACAGAAATTATATCCAATCTAAACTGAAAACTCTGATTAAATAATATACCACTCTTTTCAGGCCAGTTCCATGCAAGTAGAGCTCCCAGTCTTCTCCACAATCTATGTAGAAATTATCGCTTTCAGCAGAGGCGTTGAGCTTTTCACCTTCATATTTAGGGAGCTGCTGATATGAGGAATAAATTGATGGTCCAGAAGAGAACGACCACAGAATTTTTCCTGAACCAATCTCCACTAAATAAACTGTGCCATCCGGAGCAGCCAATATCGCTGTATCATGTTTACTGATTTTAAACAATCAAGAAAATAGCAGAAGACAGAATTAAACTTAGTAAAATGTGTGCAATAACGGTACAGAGAAGAAAAATGAATTTGGTAAAAACACCTTATAATCAAATGAACATCCAACTAAAAATACAAATACTGTACTCCATCAGCAATTCAGATGAAACAGGTCTGAAGTGTCTACCAGTTGTAAATTGAACAAAAAATTGAATCAAGGCATGGCTATAAAGTATAAGAAATGAAAAGGAAATGCAGCACACCAAAGTCTATGCAAAAATGCCTTCCAGATTAAATAGCCATGGGAAAAGCACAAAATATGAACACCCTTAGCTCTATGATGAGAACAGCAGATAGAAGAAGATGGGTAGTAATCGTTTTTCTCCGACGACACCGAAAACCAGACAACTTGTCCGTTTTCCAGATTTATACAACTATAACCTTTAGAAAAAAAAAAGGGAATCCCAGTTCAAAATAGCATTTTAGTTTTTTCAAATGCTCAGGCATGAATTATGTCCTTCTCTATGACTGACTGCTCATAATTACTTGGTTCCGGGCAATGTGCTACAATGAACAAAATCAAATAGCAACTTAGAGTTACATTTCACACTAAAGTATGCACAAATCATGTCCAGCCAAGAATCGACCAACAATTCCACAGCAATCTTGATTCCAACCTCTTCAAAACCTCAAGAAAGTCAACCACAAGAAGATAAAAACTCTATAAACACATCAACCATTGATCGATTTGGAAAAACTCACCTAGTCAGGGGCAACGGCAAATTATCCGAGTCCGGATCCGTATCCATGTCGGGATTATCTGAGGTAGATAGAACACCAAAGACAACAGCTAAAATCAATGCTAAAAGGAACAGAAGAATGAATAAGCCTCTCATGTCTGGGAGATTATTCTGATCTCAAAGAATCATCAATTTTGAAACGAAAAAAGAATCACAAGGAAGTGTCGATAGTTTTGCAGGGGGTTTTCGATTCACAAGGAGAAAGAAAAGATGAGCGAAATTGGTGCGCGTATCTCCAAAATTTGATATATAGAGATATTCCTAGTGCACGCCTATACGGAAGTGTCTGTAGGATGTGTGTGTGAGGATAAAACGATTATTCTCAAACCGATTTAATTAAAGGGTGAACATCTTTTTCTCTCCATTATATATCTTTAACGCATTATATATCTATTTTTTCTTTAACATCTTTTTCTCTCCATTACTCCGTTAACTAACTTCTTTTATATTCTAAAATTCACGAAATGTTATGCGATATTACACTCGCATGTCTAAATGAACTAACGCATATCCAATCGGCTGCATAATTTATGAATATGCGAACGCATTTTTTTAATCGCATATCCACATCAAACGCATAATTTACAAATATGCGAACATCTTTCGCGTTTTTAAGAATCGCATATACAAATCGAATGCAGCATAATTTACGATGATTATGCTCTTTCTTTTCGCAGGGCTATATCGACCTTGCAAATTTATGACTATGCGAAAATATTTCGCATATAATTCGCATAATTTGTTGACTACGCATTTTCTGGTAATTGCATATCCAAGTCAATCGCATAATTTACTAATATGCGAAAAAATTTTGCATATCCGCTGGATAATTGACAATTATGCGACATTTTTTTGCTCGCATATTTAAGAATCGCATAACCAAATCGAATAAAGCATAATTTATTTGACGATTATGCGCCGCAGTGCCATATCGACCTGGCAATTTTACAACTATTCGGAATTCTTTCGCAGATGTTTCGCATAAGTTGCGCACCTCATTAATTGACTGCTTTTTCACAGGTGAGGATTTTTTCTCTGCATTTATCATGTAGGCAAAATAACAGTGATCTCTAACAATTTAACGTCTACACCATTCATCTACTGCATTTTTCTATTTCTTTCTTTTTAATTCTTTTTGTTGTTCACTTATTTGAATGGCTAACAACCGTGTTAGAGTATTGGTGCACTTTGGTGGTTCGTTTTGCGGGGGTTCATATCTTGGTGGAGTGGCAGAGCTGATGAGAATAAATTACGGCCGACAAATGTATTCTGAAGTATTTTCTCGTGCTCAAGCATTATTGAAGGCTGGTCCTTATAATTTTGAGTATATATTGTGAGCAGTATTTGATGGAAGGGAACGAGTTGTGAAGATGAAAATCGAATCCAGTGAGGATATCTTAGAGCTGATTGAAGAACAAAAAATCCCAACATTTACGTGGAGTTGAAGAAGCGAGTAAATGTAGGGATTCTGGGGACGGCGCAACAAAGCTTGACGTAAATGATGGCGTCCCAAGGTGTATTTCCTAGTTCTTTTGGTGTTGGTAGTTCTGTATTTTCCCACGAGGCCCTATATTCACATCAAGCAAACCCTAGTTCATTTACACTTACTGGATATCCTCGTGGCGCTGATGATCAAATCGTGGGTTGTTCGAACCGACCAGGTCATTCTCGTGACGATGACAATAATGATGACCAAACCAACACGCACAATGATGATTCAGGCGATGAAGACAAAGAGGTCAATAAGAAGCAAATATTCGTAATCCAGGTACAATTGTCGAAATCGGAATTGGGTTGACCTGCACACGTCCCATAATAATCACACAAGTGAGTTGATTGCGCGATTCGCATAACATGTCTCATAATAATCGCACATTTGGGTTGATTGTGCGATTCGCATAACATGTCCTATAATAATAGCACAATTGGGTTGCTTGTGTGATCCCCATATCATATCCCATAATAATCGCACAACTGGGTTGATTCGTAGGTTCATACGCCTAGTCTTCAACCACATAATTAACGAATCGTATATCCAAATCGAA